AGCTTACTTTTTGGCATAGAATACTATACTGATGTACCTTTGTGCCTTACTCTAATGCTTGAAATGCAGGATGTTACACAAGTATAATATATATTTGATGTACTATTCTGAAATGCACTTGTATGATGTGATTTTGTGATATTTTAGCCTATAGGGTATGTTTGGTGAAATATTGTATAAATAAGCTAAAATATGGTTTCAAGTGTATGTTAATGAGAAATACATGCGATATGTGGTAATGATTTGGCCAAGTAGTGATTATATTTGAATATAATGTGAATGGCCTTGTTTTATGTGAATTCGAGGCCTTAAGCAGCTAAATCTTGAGTTTGATTTGTTATTGTATGATTATTTGCTCCATCAAATATATTTTAGTTTAAAACTTGGTTTGAGCCCCGTAATAGGTTAATGTCATAAGGTTTTGAGTTTGGGCATTTTGATGTGTAAAATTTGCTTTTTAAAACTATCATCTCACATTCATGTGTCCTATTTTCAAATATGATATTAGATTGGAATGAAACTTGTGCCATTAGCGAGATTATTAAACAAACTTCATGTGAACACTTGAATCACTCTAATTAGATATCAAATGTTGAAATGACACATGCCAAAAGTTTTCCTAATGAGTTATCATGATAGAAAAATCTTGTCATGAAAAGCCATGTGCGGCACAATGCTTGGCATATATATGAATGTAATATCAACATTGATATTACTAATAATCACTACAAACATATCACGTTATGATACATAGGAGTCATTAAGTTCATTCTAAATTTCCTTAATCAAGAAGGGCTATGAACTTATAAAATATTGCCAACATTTAGGATCCCAAAAACCTTTCAAAATGGTAGTTCAAACTCAAACTAATCAGTAATAGAAGTATAGGAAGCATCGAAGGACATGAGAACAAACACATAGGAAAATAGGGATAGAAAAGTCATTTTTGCACTTTTGGGCAAATATATCATCGCATATGGCACAGAGAGTTCAATTTCACCTCTGTGCCATGCGTCACGATTCACATAACATTTTATGACAACAAAAAGCTATCATGTCAATTTTTCAAGGTAAACTTCTAGTGTGTGTCATTTTCACATCCAATATTTGATTAAAGTAATTCAAACACTTACACAAAGCTTGTTTTCTAACCTAGCTAATGGCACAAGTTTTGCACTGATCTAATGATTCATTTAAAATTTGAATACCCAAATTCATAAAGTCAATTTTAGAGCAATTTTCAAGTATTCAAGTGCTCAAACATCAAACCTATATCATTAATTACCTTCAGGCCTTAAACTAAGTTTAAAAGAACATTTTGTACCTGATTGAACAATTTTATCAAGCAATAACACATCAATATTAATATTTGGCCACCCAATGCCCATTTTCATATCATACCAAGCAATTCATGAAATTTACTAGATTTCATTTTTTTGGGCCAAATCTTCTCATCACAAAACACATAAACATCATAAGTACAGTTTAAACTCCTTTAGCCTATTCCCTTAATGTTTCAAAAAACATATCAATTAGGCTAAAATACTTCAATTCATTACAAGTACAAATATCCATATATACATTCAAAAATACACCTATGCTTGTACTAATATTTCAGCTTTCCACATGTAATATGAAAATATACAAACGTATAACCCAAGCTAAAATATCAAAACATATCATACAAGCATAGTCCCAAATCATGAAAATTCCTATCTATTAACCTTAACTTTATATACATTCATTTATCATAATATAAAATGTAAAGGTTTTATAAAGAAGTAGGCTTGCTAGTCTTTACCTTGTTCTTTCCCTTGTCTTCCTTCCGTCTCTAGACTTGCAAAATAATAACTAATGAGTGAGACATAATCCTAGTAAAAAAATAATTCATACTATAAATTAACAAGTAAAATCATAAAGCAAGATATTTAAAATATGAATTTATATCACAATACACTATATAACCCACCTATATCTCATGCATGGTGATTTTCCAATTGAATCTCCATTATGCCCCAATTGAGTTTGTAGGCTATAACCTAAGATCAACCTCTAATAGATTAATCCAAGCTCACCTTTCATGAGAGAGCTACCAAGCTAAAGGTGCTCTCATCTATTTTAGACTATGAACTCACCCTCTTATACAAAAATGGGGTATTGTTACTCTAACATCATACCCTTCAAATACTAAGGAGTGTTTTCTCCAACATCATACCCTTTTGAGTACTAAGGAAAGAATATTAACTACACAGGACATCATTAGATGCTAGCTTAATTATATGAATTTTTTCACTACTAAGGTAAACTCCTACTCTCTATAAGATATCAATGCCAATTACATGTAACATTTTGCAAACCAAGAATTTAAATATGCATGAAACATTATGTTCTTATACAATTACTCATTTATTTCAAAAACCATCTTACTTAACCTTTATAATTTCAATTATGAACAATTTCCTAAAATAATGTTCACTTGTCCACTCTACAAGTTCTAAAAGCAATTATATGCACGCACACATACATGCACGACCTCCTACACACACACACACATATGTACGTACACACACACAAAATCTAATAAGCAATATGAACATCCAGATACCTCAACCCTTTTTATCAAAAGGGTTACCCATGATCTAAAATATGCTCTAATAGTTTCGTTGACTTTAGAGAAGTACTAAATTTCAATAATCTACAACTCTCAAGCACTATATGTTAGTTTTCAAACTTAACATAAATATTTATCAGCCAAATCTAGTTAAATTTAGCTATCCAAAGTTCCCAACTCCTATCGTTAAGCTAATCAAAACTTCAACAACCTCACATTATTTTCATTTAGCATTTATAAGGTCTATTCACAATGAAACTTATCTTACACAACTTCATAAACTCATAAACCAACTTAGGGTTCGTCCAAACCCCCAATCCCAATGACCAAGCTTCATAATATCACTTACTCAAGATGAGGAAGCTTAAATTAAACTCCTAACACTTCATGCAAGCCTTAGGGTTCAAGTATATAACCTTCCCCAACTTAGAACCCAAACACCCAATCTTCAAAACCCACCATCAATTAGCTAGAAGGGAAGGAGAGAAAGCTAGTAAGCTTACTCAAATGATTAAGGATCTAAACAAGCTTTCAATTTAACCCAAATGAAGCCAATCACTTGAAAAAAAATTTCTCCTTTGAGCACTCCAATATCCCAAAGTTTTACTCTAATTTTTTAATGATTTTGCGTCAACCTTAAGTTAACAAAGAGCCATATGTCGTAACATATGATACAGCAAACCAAACATCAATTTTTTCTCACTCATTCTGACTTGATCCTATCCAACTTCAACCTTAACCTAACCTTGAAGTTATCTAATGATCCAAAATGTCAATTAGCAATTTAAAAATATGATTAACTTAATTAATCCTCTATCTTACTAATTTATGCTTAATGAGAAATTACGTTTTGGATTAAAAACTCTATAATAAATGTTGGTCCTCTATGCTACACACCACAGCATATGTATTAGAATGAGGAAAATGACCTTTTTGCCCTTGATATCATATGTGATATGATTTTTATGATTTCCTAGCTTTCGTTGCTTAAATATACTTATTGTTTGAGCTTTAACATGTTTTGAGAAGGGTTTTCGATATCCCATTTGTTTTCAAAATTTTGCAAATCCATTTCTTAGTTAAAGTAAGTATAGGAGTTTTATGACTTCTTATTAACATTATATGCTATGATTGTGGTGAATTATTAATAATGTCAAGGTGGATGCTATAGTTGAGTTTCAGTTTCTAGATCTAGTATATTATGCATTATTTCTTGCATTCATTCTATAGTAGTTGGCAACTTATCTATATTCCATACACAACTCTTTCTCATTGTCTACATATTACTTACTTATGCATCTTAACCCTTTATAAAAAGTTCTAGGTAAGCATTCCAATAGGCTTGAATATTTTTTTTTTTAATTTCTTTTTAAGCAACCTTCAAGAGTGCTTCCTTGGGAAGTGTCCCAGTAGGAATTTTGAATATATTTTTTTTAAGTAATCTTACGAAGCACTTCAATGGCAAGCACTCCGTTATGCTTTTAATTTTTTTTTTTAAAAGCAACCTTCCTTCTAGAGCACTTTCCTTGGAAGCACTCTGCATGCATTTTTTTTTTATTGACCTACGTGAGCGCTTGTTCAAATTAGCACTCCTATAGATATGCTCCTATAGGTTAACATTTCCAAGCACTTATTTTGACCAATAATTTAAAACATTTTTGTGCATATATTTTAGAGTGCTTTTCACGAAAGCACTCCAAAATGGGCGCTCCTATTTGCATTTTTTATAGTAATATTATAATATATATTTCAGGTATATGATTGTTGTTGGCTTTTGAAATTATACTTTTAGATGCTGCAATTTGATTTTGTAATGTACAATGTAAGGGGTTGTTGGAAATGCAATCCCCTATTTTATAAATTTGGTCATAATATTAAATAGTTATAAAAAAAATTGTTTAATATTAGCACCAAAATAATAGTGCGTCAATATGAAACAGTCATTTCATTACAACCATTTTATATTCTCAAATATTAAATGATTTTGCTATCATGACCATTTAATATTGTCCCCACGGTTTAATAAATGGATTTCCAATTATATCCGTCCAAACCTCAAACTAATATTAAATTGTTTTTAGATAAAAATTGTTTAATAAAGCAAGAATATTAAATAGTTATTAACTGTTAAATAAAAGTTCTAAAAATATTTGACGTCATATTACTCGATGATTTAAATAATATTAGTAAAATAATCATTCCATAAACTCATTTTGTAGTAACATATGGGGGGGGGGGGGGGGATAACTAGTAACATTTCTATGGCAAACATTAATTGCACTCTCTAAACTGGGCATACGTTAATAGTTTGCCCAAATACATCAAAATATTATTCCATCCTGAAGCACCTCCAAATGCAAAGCCATGAAATTAAAGCTAAACCAAAATGTCAAGGCGAGTGATCTTCCCTGGATTTGGAGGGAAGCTTCCGGCTTTTGCTTCCTTCTGGTTTGTTTTCACCTCCACATCCCCACACCCAACATCCAATATTCCCGTTACCACCGCCTCCCCAACCCCATCCCCCGCCTCCCCCACCACCTCCACCCCACCCTCCACCACCACTGCCTCCTCCTCCTCCACCGCCTCCGCCTCGTCCTCCTTTACCACTTCCTCCCCCCCACCCATGGCCCCTCCCGTTTCCTCCTCCTCCACCACCGCCCCCTCCTCCCCCTCCGCCACCGCTGCCGCCTCCTCCTCCACCAGCACCATTTCCTCCTCCTCCTCCTCCCCCCGCCCCCACCACTGCCACTTCCTTCACCCCACCCATAACCTCCTCCTCCACCGCCCCGTCCACTTCCTCTTCTTCCCCGTCCTTGCTGTTTTCCTCCGCTTCTTCCACCGTATTGCTTCCATTCATATTCTTCTCCTCTGCCAATTCATCACGACTTCTAGTTGTAGAATTAACGAACCCGGACACTGCCATCTATTTTCTCCGCTTCATCTTCACTCCCCCCATCAACCACACAAGCGCCGAAGGCCACCACGAGTAGCAGAATAATCCCAAAAACTCTTCCCACCATCTCCATCTCTAATTCTGGCCAATTCCTCAATCCACAAAATGCATATATCCCTCTTCCCTCACCCCCATCCTTTTATACCCTTCGCATTATATAATTAATACCGTACCTGTAATTCCCATTCACAACCAAGTGCGCGCGTTCCCCACGCCAACAAACCCTGAGCCATCCATAAGGCTGCAAATGTTAGGTTACAAGACGAAGAAGTGATTCTGTCATTTTCCTTGTACTGCAGTTTGTCCCCACTCCTATTTCTTTCTCACTACTACCCTTCCAAACATGCCGGGTTTTTAGCTACAACTAAATGCCTTTTCTCTTTATGGTTTAAACTGGCTATAATGCATATGTTAAAAAGGAGAAGGGCCCTCAAATAATGGTAAGATTATTATAATTTAACGTTAACATTTTGATGAAAATGATGCTTTGAATAAGACCATGTCTATCCGTCCTAGCCGCGCATGATTAGCAGAAAAGAAAAACTCAGGGGGTCATACATTATAAGCCTTGACTTTTCGGAGTTGTCATTCAATAATATTTCGAGTTAACATGTCAGCCAATCCGAGCTTAGTATATTTTTCATCTGCCAATCATATATCTTTTTCTTATTGATCATGCATACCACCTAATGCCCACTGAGGAAAGAAATCCACGAGGCTAGGTAGACATAGGATATAGAGTACCCATAAGCCACGTGATCAATTGGTCGGGTGGGTAAGTGTTGGCTTTTGCTTAACGATGAGTATTGTGCAGGATAGCTGTGCAAGTTGCACCGGCGTCTTGAAGACAATACAAAAAGGGTAACCACCAAGCTGAGGGACAGTATTTAATTAGAAATCTAGTTTTTAACTCTTGCTCACTTTTTCTTTTTTAATGAACAAAAAACATTGTTTCCTTCACCTACTATATCTTTCCGGTAAAGAGCTAAATAGCTATTCAAATACCTCAAAAACTATACCTAAATCAAGGTTACCATAAGCTAGAGAGAGATTAAGGTTGATAGGAAATGCATTAAGGTTGATCAGGGAAATTTGGATGTACATTACAGATAAGTTTGATAGGAAGTGCAGATATGAGGTTGCTGCTAGAGGGGAGAAGTTTTTGGTGCCATGATTTCTCACTCTTATTGCATATGTCTTGGTCCTCTGGTTCTCAAACAACCACTCTGGGTCTCTCATGCTTTGCATTGTTAAGCCCAAAAAGGAAAGCTGGGCCTATCTGTATTGGACTGGATTCTTAGGCTGAGACCACTATATTACAGTGGAGAATTGGGTAAGGCCGATGAAAAGAAAATACAAATAAGTCGCCTTACTAAAATCAGAAGGCACTAGCAGCTTTTGACGAACTTTGCTAAATGAAAGGACCCCACGCTCAGCTCCATCAAAATTCCTCTCCACTTCCCCCTTCTACTGAAACATACAGGCTCTAAACGTTACTCGATCATTATGAGATTTTAGACGCCACCATTTTGAAGTGAACAAAAAATCTTCATGTGTACTCTATTTTGACATGGTTTTATTTTCATTCAGATTGTATTGTACCAACATTGTCCACCCACCGCGTGAGAATAGTCAAGCTGAAAAAGGAGCAGAAGGATGCATAATAATGGAGATAGCGAGTCTCCTCCACTTCTATGCCCCTTTTCCCATCTGAGATATAAATCTTGTAACACCGTTACTACGCACTTCAGCAGTCGAAGCCAATGTGTTGTTAGTGTTTTAATTAATCCCTATTGACGACAACGCGCAAACGCACGTAGGGGGGACTTCGATTTTTGAATTTATATGTATGTACATGCATGTTTATAGTGATGGGCGTATATGTTATGGATGGGCCTATTGGATATATTGGGCCCGAAGTTTATTATTTCAATGGGCTTGAAGGGGGTGGAAGTCAGGGCATGAATCTCGCAATAAAAGGCTGAAGAAAATCACCGTTGCTACACACTTCAAACAGGGAGAATCATCAAGAGGTTTCTAACTAATTTAAGTCTTAAGTATTAAATTTTAGAAATTTAAAAATTTAATGTTTAATTTTTTTAATTTTATTGTGATGAATTTACAGCTTATGTTTTAAATTTTAAAAAAATAAATTTATTTTTTTTTCACCATATTAAAATTTAAAAAATAAATTATAAATTTACTATAACGAAATTATAAAATTAAGAGATAAATTTACAAATTTAATAGTTTGATATTTAAAATTTAATTTAAATTAATTAATTCATCCAAACAGAAAAAGTACAGGTGTGCATAGTTAGAGATTAGAGTAGATGGGCCTACAAATATGAAAAAGACCAAAAGGATCATTGGCAGGGTGGGATGGCATGATGTGATTGATTAATGGAATGGAGTCATGGAGGGTTCACATGTACTCCCTCTTATCTGATATATAAATGCTTTTTTAAAATATAATTTAATTCAATTTATAAGTTATAAGTTATTAGGTAATGAGATTATTTTATTTTAAATTAAAATTTTTAAATTACCTTTAAAAAACAGGAGAAAGAGATAAAAAATAATATAATATAATTTATTTATTTTTTATTTTTTTACTTTAGAATTATGTTTGACATTTCACTTACTTTTATTCTTTATACTTTTATTATATTGGTATTAAAAAAGTTAATAAAAATAATTTATAAATAAAATAAGAGAGTACAATTAAAGGCAGCCATAAGGGTGTGGTCCAATGTTTTAAAACTTAGACCGGACATCAAACTGAAAAAAAGTAATAGGTCATTATTTTCATAATTCAACCAGTTAGACCGGTGGTTAAATCAGTGACATAAAAATTAAATAAAAATAATATTTATATATATAAATATATAAATAAAACATTAATCTGTTAATGGTGCTTAGGATATTAACGCCGAAGGCTAGAAGACTGGACCACTAAAGCTCTAGATAGAGACATGTCGGCACAAGCTCACGATCTTAAAGGAAAACGCTGGAGCTAAAAGCATTCTATCATGTCATGACTCACGAGCTTTTAATCTTGATGCTGAAGGCCGAATCGCTAGAGCTAAATCCAGAGGTTGAAGGAGAAGTTAAAAATTAAGCCTGAATCATGGAAGAGAGATCGGAGATTAGAAAAGAGAAGAAAAAAAAATTAGAGATTAAAAAAGAGAAATCACGAATCTGAATAACTTAGTCTAAATTTTTTTTTTGTCTTTAAATAGAGTTGACCTGCTTTATTTCTAAGTCAAAATCAATTTTTTTAAAATTGGTTGAATCAATTCAAATCAACCTAATTCAAATGTTAGGTTGATTTAATTAATTGAACTAAATCATTTTGTTTAAAGGGTGACAGTCAAATCGATTGAACTGTGCGCTTCAATTCGAGTTTCACATCATTGATGCGGTCAGACCGAGCAATGTGTCTGCGTTCAATTACATGCATGCCCATGCTCTACTGGCGAATTCAGCCCATTGGACTAAATCGGAGAGGAGGATAAGAGGGTGAGGGAGACTGCCAAATAAAACTTGTTTCCCATAAACAGGTTTTTTTTAAAAAAAAAAAAAACTGAGTTGGGCGAGTAAAATCATTTATTTCCCTTTGTTTATGTATTGGTGATGAGATAGAATAATAATTTCCCTCGATTTTATTTATTTATTCATTATTTTAATCAAATCATTATTATTTTTTTGTTTGTGTAAAATATAGTAATAAAAATTATTTATTCTTTTTATTTAATTTTTATGTTTTATTGAAAGCAACAATTTACTTCTATTTATTTATTTATTTTCAATAAGTTAATTACTAATTCTTGTCTATGCCACCTTTTACTATAGAGTGAAAACGTAATTAAAAGTAGTTTTATGCTATTAACTTTTTAAAATGACCTCTATTTTTTTTTTAATGTCCTTAGTTTAATTCATTAAATTCTAACATCTATTTTCCAGAAAAGAAAGTAAAAAGTATAGCTTTAAATACAAGGACATTCGCCAAAAAAAAATTAATGCTTTATAAATTTTAAATCAAATGAGTAAATTATCTCTGAATTTTAAGTCAAGTAATATCAAAGACCTTAAACTTATTTAATGTGTAAATTATTTTTTTAATTTTTAAAAACAATGTAATTTACCCTGTCGTTAACTGAAGTTAACTAAAAAATAATAGAAAATGATCTAAAAATTATAAAAAATGACCAAAAATTACAATAAAGAAACTAAAAAATCACAAAAAATGGTAAAACAAATTTTTGATTATTTTTTAATAATTTTTTATATTATTTTTTAATCAACTGACAGTCAAAATCAATTTTTATTAATGATGGGGTCTAAATTGTATCATTTTTAAAAGTTAAGAAAATCATTTTGTATAATAAATGAATTCTTTCATAACAGTACTTATAATAAGAATTGCAAGTAGTCCAAGATTTAATACTCCCTCTATTTAAAAATATAAGATATTTTTTTTGAGAAATTTGATGTTAAAAAATATAAAATATTTTTAGCCTTCTGATGTGTAATCATTGTATTTTTTTAAAAAAAATTTCCTATTAATAATGATTTTATATTTATTGTAGGGTGTTTAATAGAAATGAATATGAAAAAATAGAGTTAGTTTAAAAGTAGGTAATTATTTTATTATGGGTGAGATTTGATTAAAAATATATTATATTTTTTAACTGATGGAGAATTAAATCTTGACAAAAATTAAAAAAAAAAAACAAAAGAAAGAAAACGAAAGGAGACATTTGGCATCTAGTGGCAAAGTAAATGAGAGATTTCCTTTGTAACGGTATCGCCCGATGTCCTTTGAGCTTTTTCAATTATCATTATTATTATACCTTTCATAAAATTTACAGAATGTTTATGTGAAGAAGTACTCCCTCCGTTTTTATTTATTAAAGAAACCGTCATTTTTCATTTTTTTATACATAAAATCATATATCTCAACCAGC